ATGAGGATAGAAGAAAGGAACAAGCAGCCCAAAACAGAAGGAAGTAGTTACATTACCCAGGCTTTACCTGCTGCTGTAACTTCCCTCTCTTCGATGTCTCCCTGGCATCTGCAAGCTGCTGCAAGGAAAGCAACACGAATCTCACCTTGTCCCTGTGTAAAAATTCAAATTTGCTCCTTTTACTAGGCAGTATCTATGCACACTTCAATCACTGACAGCACAAAGCTGTGCACAGTGCTCGGGTTTGGGCTCTGAAACTCATATCCCACCTCAGCTCATCAGAGGTTCTCCTTAGCCCTTGCACTACAAGGAAGAAATAGCAGGAGCTTAGAGTGAGAAGCATGGAGGATACATTTGTTATGTGTTTAAGCTGTGTTGCTGAAGATGTTTTGCTCTGCTTTGCACGTGTGTCTGTTCCGGATGGTTTTCCTTGTGTTTAAAAAAAATAGGCATACTTAAAATCTACTTTACAAAACCTCAGCAAATTAGCACTGATCTTTTCCAGACAATTCTTCAAATGAATGTTCTGCAAATGCCTCCTCACAGCATGCAAAGATTTAGATACGCTGGGAACTGGCTCCGCAAAGGATGCTCTCTAACAAGAGGAATTTAAGTGCTGATACCAGTTCAATTTGCCGCTTTTTGATTTTAATATAAAAAGAAATAGTTTCTGCAAGGAAAGATTCAGCTTTCATCACCAGAGCCCTAGCACAGACTTCACAGGCAAAACTAATTCACAGATAAGCACTTTTCATAAACATGACACATTTCTTGGCTTGCAGAGGTTCTGGAGAAGGAAAGAACAGGCTGTGCTGACATCTGGTGGCTTTCTCTGCAGGCAAAGACAGATCATGGCAATGGGTCTTGGCTTTTCACTGCCCTTTTTTTTTTTTGTTTGCATTCCTGATGTAACTTCTTCGTTTCCTTCCAGGATAAAAAGTATTATGATAAAAACATTTTTGTTTCCACTGACAGTGGGGCAGTGCTGTCCTATGCAATTCCTTCTGCAAAAGCAAGAAAGGATCCTTTGTTGTGCACTATTAGTGACAGTGTAGAAAAACTCTCCTCCTCATTTCAAAGCATATTTCTTCATGAATAAATTTTTAAAAATGTACATTCACTGCCATGGGAAATGCTGCTACTGCATATCAGACGAGGTGCAAACCCAACCATTAAAGCACTGCAAATCAGCAGAGGTGGCAGTAAGAAGCAAAGGGAAGTGGTTGGGGAAACACTCAAAGGTATGTCTGTTTCTGTAACTCAATAGGAAACAGAGAGTAGAGAAAAGTCAATAAAATGAAAAGTAGCAAAGTTGTCTACTGGGCGTGTTCCGGGACTCAATAATCATTTGCAAATCTGTGCCAATTAGTACTATGAAAAGGGAGTCACGGAAGGAGGATCAGGTGCCAACCAGGAAGACTGGGCTCAGTACAAACAGTTCAATAAGCAAAAGTGTGCACTTGCCTTAGGCATTTGTAATGCCTCCAGCTGTCTGCTGTGCTCTGAAGCCAGGATCCCATCAGTCACAGGAGACCAAGAATGAGTATCACATGTTCTGGTTTTTCCTCCTTGATCTCTGGACACTCAGGATTTCTCTGGCTATTATCTTCCGAGGACAGGACCCACAGATGTCCCATCATGGCTGTAATAACTCTTGAACTGTTACTTTCAAGCTCATTTTTAAATAAAGGTTTGTCAGGGGATGTGTTGAATACCCCCAGGGAGAAGCCACCACAGCTTACAACATATCTCTGGCTCACCTTTAAAACAGAATGTTTGCATCAGATAAAGCAGTTCCCCAACTGTAACTGCAGTTGCATGTCAGATCTTTGAGGGCTCCTTTAAGCCATTGGTAACTGTCAACATTTAACTCACCTGTCCATATCAGCAGTTTTCTTAACTGCTGCTTCTTCAAGAGGCAACATAATTACCCCTGGACAGAAAAGCAGACAACACTGTTGGATGCACAAAGTATAATGTGACAAAGCCGGAAAAAAAACGATGCCTGTTCCAGCAGTTCATGAGTTCGATTCCAAAAATTATTAAAAAACACCATTTTTATGCCTTTAGTGCTATAAAAAGCAGCATTACTTCAGCATCTCTGCACCAAGGGTGTTGCACAATTCACATTTTGCGTGTTTATTCAGTTACACCTTTAGTCTTCCTCTTCATGATAATTCCTTTCCTAACTTACTCTCTTTAGCAGCTATTCTTTCACACCTCTTAACCAAAGCTCCAGTCCCTCTGAAGTGATTTTTTTCTCCAAGCAACAACCAAAGGCTCCAAGGACATCACACTGAAAGATGAATCCTTATTAACTCCACAATGTCTAAGAACACTAGCAAAGCTGTATGACTTACCCCACTACAGCTTTGATTAAAAGCAACTGTAAACCAATGCCCAATGTAGTTCATGACCTCTGCCAGGATAAAAAACCATGGCACCAACTCTGATTTCCTTCAACAGAAAGAGGATTTCACAACCATGTGGGCAAAGACATCCCAGTCTTTACTGATTTATTAGCCAGTGTTCAGTTTTCATTCAGTACTCAACAATCCTGGAATGAAATCTACTTTGACACAAGGCTTATACCATATCCCACCAACAAATGTTAGAACAGCATATATCTTGACATGTTCTCAGTGGTTATCTGTGGTTTTGTGGGGTTTACTTGAAAGGAGCATTATAAAGGTCCAATTAAAAAAAAACAAACCACAACAACACAGTAGAAAAACACCTCAGGAAGAAACCAGTTTACAAGTATGGCCATTGAGAGCTTTACAAAAGGCTCTACTGTGCTGCTGGAGAAAGGAGCCAATGAAGTGCCATTGCCAGAGCGAACTGAGCTCACAAAGCAGTAGTTTAACTCTTCCCTTGGAAAGAGAAGCTAATCTGGAGTGCCAAGCACATCATTGAATATTTGCATTAGAACATTTAAGTTTTTTCTCACTGATGCTGTAGAATCCTTCTTTCACTGTGCCGCACTCAAAGTGGCACTGAAAGTTTGGAACTGTACAAGCCCAGAAAGAACAGTTGTTAAAATGTGGTGACTCTTTCAAACACAAATGCCTTAGGAAAAAAAGGATCACAAAACCAATCCAAATCTGTCTGAAAGGGCTGGAGACCAAATTCAAATCCCGAGAACAGGGGGAAAAGAATGGCAGTGTTTGCTCAGTCTGAAAGCAGTCTGAAAGCCTGAGTGTGCTGACTGACACCATCCAGATGCCTTGGCAGGCCAGTCTGAGACATTGATCTCTCCAGTACACCATATATCCTTACAAAGTTACCTTCATTATTGTAAATCTGGCTGAACAAAGCTGGAGTGCAATGCATTACCTTAAACTGCTTGAGAAGATGAGTACAAATCTGTATTAGCCAGATAGATCTGCAAACACAACACGACAGACTGTGTAAGAAGGTAGATGAGACATGGGCACATATTTGGAGAGCAGGTACCAGCAACAGAGAGGCTGGCTGGACAGAAAGAGGAGGTAAGAGGTAAGTTCTCATAAATTCATCAGGGCATGCATAACAGCGTCTAAATCCCAAAAGAATACAGGTGATTTCAGTGACACAAGACTCCTCCTTACAAGACAAAGGTACACTCACCCTTTTAATCACAGTTGAAAAAGTGTTAGAGTACTTTCAGAAGAGAATAAAACTCTGAAGCAAAGCTGTTGGTGAGTAACATCAGCTACAGAAACAGTTTAAACCAGAGAGTTGTCACAAAGGATGAAGAAAACAAGGCAGGAACAATACGTGGAGGGTTCTTTGGTCCTGCATCTAAATTAAAGGGAAATTTTTTTTTAGATACTTTGGAAATCACACATCTCCCTTCAGTATCATGTCAATTAAAAAAAAAAATAATCAAAGCTCCAGGAAACGATAAGCTTACTTCTCCAGAAAGTCTGTTGTGGAAATGGTATCGTCAGGTCTCATTCAAAGCTGAGGGTACATGTGTAGGGTACAACAACTGCATGTGAGGTCTCATCTGATTTAGCAGAGCCTATGCCCAAAAAACCTGCTAAGGCAGAGAGCCAGCATCATTCCTATTTCAGTGAAGAGAGGCTCAAAGGCACAATGTCCCATCTTGATACCTCCTAAAAAGCATTTCATAAGTGGTATCTATCTAAAGGTACTTTCTTGAATGCATGACTATTTTCTATTATTCTTTATTTGGTTCCTGTAGTAGAAAAGACTGGAATTACCAAGAACAAACACATAGCAACAGAGTATTTGGCTCATGGAAAGCAGAAAGCAATCAATTCCAGTCTTGAAGACATGTGGCTCACAGACTGGGCCTCTCCTCACAAAAATGCAATGATTCAGGTTTTAAGAATAAAACTGAAACCATGAGCTTTCACTCCATTTGAAAAAATGCCCAATTCCTACTTAGGCACACTGATGTTCTGGCAGAACTCGAGTTGTTACCTCTGCATGAAGGTGTCTCCACCAATTAAAGCTAGAAACAGGCTAGCTGGTCCTGAACACAAAAGCCTCCCGACAGTCATCTGTCCCTTTCAGCATGCTAAAGAGGGCTGGAAGAGAGGATAATGGAAAGCATTCACCAGTGAAAAGCATGAAACACTTGCCAGTCTGCACTACTTAAACAAAAGAGACCAAACATAAAATGAGAGAAGTAAAGCTACGACTTGAGAAACAGAGACATTCTCTTCTCAAGCTCTTTAAAATACCTAGTGATTCGGTCATAAAACTTTTCATTTAACTGAAGGAGGTTTTGCTTCATTTTCATTAGAAGTTAGTACTGTGATGGGATCTTATTGTGCATTGTATAATCTCCATATGCAGCTACTCTCTGCTGTAGGATCACACCAAGAACGTGTGTCACAGGTCAGAGATGGCATGCCTGAAGCATAAGAGGCAAGCAAAGGAAAGAGAGAAGTGAGAAAGAAAAAAGTAATTTATGTCCCCCAGTTTTCCTTCTCTCAGTCGAGGCATATTGACAGAAATTAATTTCTATTGTAAGGGAATTGCACTGCTTGCAAAGCAATCCTCTAGGATTTATTGATCTTTAAGAAAAATCTCATTAAGCAGAATAAGGGAAATTTACAACAGGTATGGGAAAACAAAACAATCTCTTGGGATCTTCACCAGGCTGAAACAGGATTAGCTCTGTAGTTCCTGTAATCTTCCCCACAGAAGAATGCTAATTCCGTCTCATTTGCTGGAACGAATAAAAAAATTAAATATTTAGCACACCGGTAAATGAACCACCCAACAGCCAGCTATTGAGAATCTTAGAAGACAATTATAACTCTACACACACTTTTCCTTCTCATATCTTTGTAAAAAAGACTCCAGTATTAAAGATGTCAGGTAACCTCGTTAAAAAACACCCCAAACAAACAAAACCACCAAGAACATGAACATATAGAAGTAAATATGTACACAAGACCTCTCAAGATTTGTTTAACAGTCTTCAGAATTGTTTGTATAAGCATCCAGCAAATTAAGTCATTGCATTTCTAACACCTTCAAATGGTAGGAAAATAATGAAGCATGATATACTCCTTTTTTCATGCATTTTTCTGTTAGGAAAGGGGAAAAGAAACTTTTTTTCCCATTAAATTAGCCTGTAGGTATAATAATTTAATACTTAGAGGATCAGTAGAATATTTTACAGATCACTTTACATTCTCCCTCATGACCCATCAAAATATGTGTCTGAAGAAGTTAATTTTTTGCCCTGCTGATGATTAATTCATGAGGCTTCAACAATATGCAAAGTGAAAGACACAAATTGGCTTCTCCAGCAATACCTTCAAATACCTCTAATTATTCACAGGGGATATAGCAGAGCTAAAGGACCCACAAAGGTTCAGAGCAGTCACAATTCTTTCAACCCAGTAGGTCAAGGACTTCCTCTTTTAAAACAATAAGTCAGCAACATTACTTATTCAGAACAGAGACAAATCTGATGGAAAGCCTTCGCAATTATTAAACATGGAATTCTTAAGGTGCTGAGCCAATAAGTTCCACATTCTTTTTTTAAATTAAACCTTAAGTTAATGAAGTCTGCCTGTCTTGTAAAAAAAAAAAAAAGAGCAGAAGGGATTTTAGAATCTCAACTAGAAAACAGACAAGAGTGTTTGCAATGAATACTGAACACTTTATTAACATACACCATACTTGAAAAAAAAAAAAGCAAGCATGAACTTTGCTGACTAGATAATAACTGTAATAATAATCACTACCACAGAGGCTTTCCTGAGGATACTTATCTAATGTCCTCATAATTTATAACTCTCTAGCCCAACCCTGTATAGTGCCAAGGGCAATGAACTGCAGCTTCAAAAAAATGTTCTGCATGTCTCAGAATTTCCTAGGTTTTCTAATGGCCATTCTCTGTTTTATTCTGGTAAATCTTGACCAGACTAGATGTTGGAAAACTGTAATATCTCAATAGGAGATTTCAAATCTTCTTACTGATTTAAAGAAACTGTACAAAATGAGGACCACTGGTATATGTTATCATACACTTTCCTGGTTTACTCTTTTCCACTTCTAGTTGAAGAGGAAAAGTAAAATCTTCAAAATTTTACTACAAAGACCTCACTTATTCCTAACTTAAATAATTTTCACATCAAGATATGCTGGAACATATGAAAAAGGCATAATGGCACATGGTATTTTCCAAAGAAAGGGTTTTCTTCTTCTATCACTAATATCCTCTATACACTAATGACTAACTGCTGTTAGTTATTCAGAAAAGAAAATAACTAAAAGCAGTTTTAAATCATTTTCTGCCCTGAATAAAGCATCTCTCCCTTTGCACAGAGACACAGAACAGGCTGGTCTATTCCTATTTCCTTTTTCTATAACAGTTATTCTGATGTTTTGACACCTCTTTTGAGATAACATCCAACTGTTTCACTGCGGTAGCTACAAATCTAGTTTCAAAGAGGGATAATATATACAAACATTTATCAATACCTTTCTAAAAGAAGCCAGCTCTGACAGTGTTGTTTCTAATTCAACATTTGGCACTGTCATGAGTCCCTCTCCTGAACTGTATTGCCTCTTAGGTAGATAAAAATCATGCTTAAATGACTCCTCTGCTAACTAAATTACAAATCTATAAGGCTTAAGTGCCAGTAATCTTCCTTTCTTTTTTTTTTTCCTCCAGATAAAAATACCTGCTTCAGTAAAAACAAGCAGAGAATAACTATGATTCATATTATAGAAACACCCAAAGACCTTTAGGAAAGGTGTACTGAGACCAGTTGCAGTTCACCCCAGAGAAAAACATTGAAGAGACATCCCGAGCCACATAAAACCAGAAAGTAAATGGCAGGAAACGAAAGAGCCAAGAAACCTGTGCGAAAGAAATCATTCAGTAGCTGGGGAGCCATCAGTGGGCATCAGGAACAGGAAGGGGCTTCCTCTGTGAAGCCCCTGCACTTAGGGCACAGGCAGTTAATGTGTTCTAGCCAGGCAAATCAGATTGAAATGAGCAAACGTCCATATCAAGGTGGAATGCAACTACCTCCCTTAAGTACCCTGCTGCCACAAAGTCATTCAGCCACGTTCATGAGAAGCCCAAAGGACATCCAGGGACTATCAATTTTATCATGACAGACATTTCTTTACATTATTACCAAAAGACATGCCCTATATGTAGTCTCCTGTCAAAATGTGAGAAATCAGGTCAAGTTTCAACTCTTTGCCATGTTCAGCACATTCTCTAAATGATACTGCTCAAGCTTTCCTGAGCAATCTGACTATCAGGCACTGTATGCAGCACATTAAACAAATCTAATCTTATTTCATTATTCCATCCTGGTTCCACTACTTACATTTCTAACCAAAACATCAGTTTAAATGTTACTGATAAGACTAAGCAGACACGATACTAATAACCTATCTGTCAATCATTTAAAATTACTCTCAGCAGAATTATAAGCATACCCTCCAAAAATCACAATTTGCATTCTGAACATTTGGAGTGCAGATACCTGCTGCCCTCAGACCAATGATTTGAATAATTCTTCCCTGAATAATTATGAAGTCATGTAAAGAGCATCAGGAATAGCATTTACTTTTCAGCAGCCTATCCAAACATAATCAGACAGTTATCAGTTTAATGCAACTACAATGAACAGCATCTCCAGTCAATACAAATGTACTCCTACCTACTCCAGCTGCTTTCAGTGTACTGTCTTCTTTCAGAATCAGTTTGTCATCATCTTCCAAACTCACTACAAGTTCACCAGTCTACAAATCAGAGAACCAGAATACAAAATAAGAATTTTTACTGATTTTCTCTGCCCAAGTCTTGTTTGACAATGCAGAGATCTCCCTGCATCAAAGCACATAAAAGGGGAAGAACACAGCTAATAATCTTACCTTAGATTTGTGTGCTTGGTGAATAATCTTCATTGTATCTGAAAGAAAATACAGTGTTTTCCTAAAATAAGGTTTAATAAGCAGATAACACAAAGTTGTACTTGGGGGGAAAAAAACAAAGGTAGAACCTTCAAAATCTTTTGTTACTAACAACTTTGCTTATTCAATCTTAATCTCCCAGTCCTGCAGCCATAGCCTTAAACCAGTCAATGCTACATTAAGGTACCACATTCTAATGGGCTTCTGTCAGCTGTCTGAATTACAATAACTAATAACCATCCCAATGGCCAGTCAAAAGACATCAATTTAAATGCCACTTAGGGTGTTTTAACAGGTTTTACACATGCAACTGGGGCGGGTCCAACAGCATTTATGCACTGTCAACTATTAAAGCTACGCTGATAGGCAACAAGTGATTAAGACAGTAACCTGACCACTTCAGATCATCCTAGAAATTTTCCACGGTAGAAATTTTGTTAAGCAAGTTCATCTTCCATTAACAGATACAGGCTCTTCTCTTTTTAATGCTATATCCTCTTCAGTAATTTTTATCTCTAATATGTTTGTGCAATGTAGTACTTCTAGAAATTATGCTATTAAAAAGAAAAGAAAAAAAAAAAGAAAGTGCCATTTTCTTCTGGCAATGTGGGCAGAAGGGAAAACAAGGGGAAAATTATGCAGTCACTGAAGCAACTGGATGAGTGCAAGGATCCAGAGGGAATGGAAGTCGGCACTTAAAGTCATGCAGCATTTAAAAAAAAATAATAATCAAACTCCAAAGCTGCTGTGTTAGAACAAATTCAGAGTAATACATCAATCCCTTCCCAGCAAAGAAGAAAAACCAGTTCTGCTTGTCGGCTCATTTTCTCTTCTAGTTTGGGTTTGTGCACTGAGTGAACACTATGTGTCGAAATAGTCTGGTAAGAGAAGGATGCAACAAAGTAAAATATAGACTAAACCAACTCACAAACTACCAAGAGTAAGTATTCAGATGTTCAGAATAACAGAAATCACATTCCCACTCAGAAGTTTGCTTCCATACCCCTCTGGCCCATTTTGGACACTATCTAAAACACTACATAAGGTAGAGAAACTACTCTATTCCCACCACAGAGGTCACTAAGAAGGCAGCCTTGGTATGTTGAAATAACTGTGGCATAAGAAGCAAGACAGACATTAAATTGCAATTACCAGGATCCATCTTGCATAGAAGCATTGCAAAAAGACCAAGCAACCACAGAAAAAACATACTGCAATCAAGAAACCTTTCTACCACAGCAAATAAAACACAGCCTCTGCCTGTCAGTTTTAAGCTTCTCTGCCTACCTTGCCACATTCCCTTTTCTCTAGTCTTAGCCATTAGTCTTCATTCCCTGAACCATTGTCTCAATTTCACTTGTTCACAACTCCACAACTGGCACTCAGCAGTTTTCCTTGTCTTCATCTGAGCTATTAAATGGTTTCTCTAACTCTGTTACAGAGATAAAACTACAGTCTCTTCTCATCCTAGCTAAAGCCTTAAGTCCTCCCACTAGCCTTTGCTATTTCATTCCCATTTAGTTCCACTCCATCATATTGACAATTTTTTATCTTGTCTTTTCTGTTAATAGGTCTTTCATGACAGTAGATAAGAAATCACTTTCTGAAGTCTGATTCTGTGAAGCATCTACGATATTGCTCCACATTCAAGGAGAAAAGAAATAAAACTAAGAAGCAGCTTATGAGACAAGATGGCACTATCTTCACTGCCCTCACCAGTGGAAAGAAGGCAATGATGGGGTAGGAAGATATGATTGACTGAGAAGAGCTCTAGACCAGGGACAAGAATTATGCGTTTAAAGAAACAAAGAGAAAATGAAAGTCACAATCTTTGAGATGTGAGTTAGAGCACCAATCCACAAGGAAAAAAGAGATGGCATTATATACGATGTTGAGAGAACAAAGCAGTGCTGAATTCTGGAGAGAAGGAAGCTGAAACAGGCAAGGTGAGAGACAGCCAATCCAACTGAGATTTCTGGCACTGCCAAACAAAGCAGAAGAAAAAATCTGACTCTTACGAGCACTGTTCATGCAAAAGTCTCACTGTCCTTTTCTCACAAAAATCCAAGAAAGACAGTGGAGCAGTGTAGAGACAGCAGAGATGGCAAAAACATGAACCTGGATGATTCACAGCCTGAGGGGAAGGTGAGGAACTTGGCTTTGATTTTCCTGTGTGAAAATTTTCACGCAGCTAGCACCATACCAGTAAAAGTAGGCCCCCACTAACTGGTGCAGCAGGTTTTAAAGTTATGCTCAGTCCCACATGGCACAGTCAGCTGCTCAGCCACAACTTACACCTTGGGAAAAACTAAACTGATCTCCAAGAGATGAAAGAACTAGCAGCAGGGATAGGCAACACCAGGAATACAACCGATAGCAGCAGTTCTAGACAGGACCACCTCATCTGGCCAAAGCCACTGATGGAAAGAAGGGCATCTCCAAATTCAAACTTAGAATTACCTAGATGTTAAGTAACATATTAAAAATAATAGTAACATTCAAGTCCTTGCCACTGGCATATTGTCAATCTTAATTCCTAACTCCTTTTCTGGTTTCATTTTGCACTATCTCCTTCATCATCAGCAAGAGCACAAAATGAAATCCTTGGCTTTTTTTTTTTTAAATAGGCAAAGAGAGTTTATTACCATTCACATGTACTGAGTAGGTTTCTTATTCAATTACTTGAATCACTGTAGAGGAAGGAGTCTGTCAGCTCCAAGAACATCAGAGACAGAGGATCACTTGCAGCAAAACTCCAAAGGAACTTTCAGAATTGTCAAGTTTAGGCTATTTCATTCCACCAACTTGTATTTAAGAGCTTTCATATCTTCTCTGAGCAAAGTTCCCCTGCTTCTCTTATATAATGTAAACTATTTAGGCACAAAAGTCTTCAGCATTTTCTACTTACTGCCTTCAGCTCCCGTTTCACCAGCCTTTCTGACTTCACCATTAGTAAATAGATACTGAAGTACATAAGCACATAGAGAGCTACAATTTCAAAGTGTTTTGAGATCACAAGCTGCTCATTAAGGCAAAGAAAAAGTTAAAAGGCACTCATAAAAACAATAAAAAATTAATATTAAAAACCATCAGTACCCAAGAGTAAATAATGCATAACATGCAGCCTAATTCAAAGATTAATATGGATCTTCAAAATAATGGTCAAGTTCTGCAGACATGATCCCAGTGCCATAACCCCAGTCACAAGAGCTGGCACCAGCATGAGTATTCCACAATAGTTATCTTTTAAATTGTATAAGCACTGGTATAAAGTGCTTATGTGTGCATTTTACAGTAACTAAAACAAGAAAAAAAACCCCACACCTACCATACTTGTAATTTTTAAAGGGAGGAGGAAGTCCTGTTCTTGAAGACACATCTGTTAAAATAAAAGCACCAAGTTAAAACAAAGTTCTCTCTTTTTTATTTCCAATATTTTATTTTCTATTACTGTGCAGTGTATGCACAGTGTATGCATCCTGGACATCCTGTACGTCAAAATAAATCCACAACACAGGAGACTTGGTTGAGCATCCAATACTAAAACACAGCCTTTGGCTCAGATTCTATCGTTACCCCATATGTGATTAACTTCACTTGAGCATGAAGTCCCTCTGAACAAAACAACCCATGAGGACAGTGAGTCAGTGCAATTTGGATATGATCACAGGAGTCTGATCCTTCAGAAATCTGCGGGGAGTACCCTTCTAATGGTTTGCATAGCATCTCTCTCTACTTCATACAAACAGCTCACAACTGTCATTCATAACTGAATCATTCAGTAAACACAGCCATGAGAACCAGCCACAAAAAAAGAAGCCCAACTGTAGAAAATCAACTCTCCAGCTGTATACAGGATACAGCTCACAAGTAACTGCAAGAACACTGACACTTTCCTGTGTGCCAGTGTTCCCAGTGACACCCAGGGACTTAACCAGGGCCTCGGAAGGCCTGTGGAATGCTTGGCAGCAAAGCAGCTGAAACCATGATTTCATCCACTACTTTTAACAATTTATCTCAAACTTCCCCTTCAAAACAGATCACAGTAAAGCAAGGAACATGAATTTTGGACCAGGAACAGCACTATCCCTCTGTGGAATGAGGTTCCAAAAAGTCTTGTTCAAGGCACTGGCTTTGTCTCAAACAACTGTGAGTTGCAATACTGCACACATCAAAAGCAAGTTTCTCAGCATTGTTTTTTATTTTCTTCTGTACCATATGTTCTTGTACCATATGTTCTCGTAGTTTTCTAAAAGTATCCTGAGATCCTGCCATCCCTATCACTGTCTAGAAGTATGCAAGTCACCAAAAGCACAATATAGCCATGAGTCCCAGGGCACTGTCCTAGGAGTTGCTCAAATGTTATCATCTACAACAGTTCAAGACTTGTTCAAGATGACTTCATGTGAAAAAAGCAAATGATGTTATTCTGTTCCCTTTGAATGTCTCCATTTAGGTGTGTGGAAATCCATCTGCAACATCAAGGGTAACACCCTAACAGCTGAGTGGCTGCGTGGGCTGGTCTGCACTAATTAACTTTTACATTCACTGTCACTTTCAATGAGGCTCCTAAAACAGAGAGCCCACAAAGCCTAAGATGGAGACAGAAACTCAGAAACAAACATGCATAGCAAGACCTCAGAGTGTCAAAAACAATTTTTCAAGATTCTCTCTTCTCACAAATAGCAAACAGACTTGCATTCCCACATTCCACATACTGGTGTAGTTCCTTAGGATCAAAGGCTCTCTAAATTCTGTTAATTTATTCCTATTAATTTGTGAATATCTGCCTGACAGCACCACGCAAGGAGCCTGAGGTACTGAGCTAAATGCCCTTGTTCCTTTTGGACTTAATGTGAGGTTTGGGCAGGGGGAGCAGTCTATCCAAATTTAGGCATGGCACACTGACCATGGAAGCTCTTATTAACTCCAGACCCTTCATCCAAGGGAGAAAAGCATACAGGGGATGTAAACACAAATCTGGCATCTCTACCAAAGCCACAGAACTCCCATTCATTTGCTCCCCTCCACTTTCCTGGGCAGAGACAGCAACACATGGGCCTGAAACGAATGAACAAGACAAGCACCCCCTACCCTTCCTCACGAAAGTAATGAACTCCTTCACTGTCTGATCCAAGGCAACCCCATGGTACACCACAGGTCTGAAATTCCGGTGCTCAAAAGAGCGAACAAGACGAACTGTGACAGTTGAGCTCTCTGATGACATGAGAATTAATTCTGAATCACCTGGAAAACATTAAAGAGAGGAATTATTGCCTTTCCTTTGTGCATGGGCACAGCTGGAAAACAAAGGTGCAGGTTGGGCCTCATGCAAAGATTAAAACATGGCAAGAAGTTCAATAACATTGTGTCTTTCAGGGTTTCACTTCTATTATTCCTACAGAAGCAGTAACCAGGTCTCAAAGCAAACAGGACATTACTGATACTGCACACCACATGATCTGCACCTGTACTGTGTGGTGCCATATCAGACTTCACATGCAAAAATGTTGTGAGTAAATGCAATTATGTTGTTTGGGTTTTAAGTGACTTCACCTGCTGGGTGAGTAACCTCGTGCTCTAGAAGAATGTGCTAATATGAACAAAACCTTTTTAACGTACTTATGTTGCAGAGAATGTAATACCCTGAAAAATGCCTAAGCTGTCACACAATGCTCATTTTCACCTCCCTAGAGAAAGTGGAAAAACCACCCCCATATACACATACAAATAATCCTCTTGGTACAGTTCTACATAATTAAGGGATTTCATTTATAATAGTAGGTCTCTAGAATGGCTCTACAGGGCTTATATAATTTAAAAGAGAGCAGAACCTACAACAGAGTGGCTTCATCAACCCAAACCCCTCTTCAAACAAGCCCATATGTTGTTCTGTCGGATTCTTTCTCTCCACAGGAAAACATAACTGTTTCCTACCCCAACCTACTTCTCTATTTTTGGTGCTGGGTATCCCTCAGCAACCTTGTTTCCTGGTCACATGGTAAACTGCTGTGGCTACAGCAGCAGGGAGCATAGACTGCAGTGCATGTGCTGTGACATCAGGCAGGGGCACAGCACAACCCCTGCACCTCCCATCCCGGAGCAACCATTTCAGTCACCACCTCCAGTCCTGCGAGGGATTCTCTCACCAGTTCATCCCTTTATGTTCTTTTTGTGTGTCTTTTATTTTTTGCCTTTTTTTTCCAGGGGTGGTTATTTAAGTGCCCCATCACCATGCAGGCATCCAGGTACATCCCAGCCTTTCCTGTATTTATTCTAGCAAAGCAAAGTAGCAACATTTTCTTCAAGTATTATCTGCAGAACGAGGGCACAGACCTTCCACAAGACAGGGTAACTTGCTTTTACATCCTCTTGGCTAATAATTCCCAGAGCTCCAATTCCATTGCAAATAAGCTGTGACACACAAATAAAACACGCCAAACAAAAAGCACACTTCGCACCTGAAATAACTAGATTTATATTAAACAGCTGCAGAGACCCTTCCCCTTAAGGGTGGGTCATCACAAAAGCAAAGGTGGATATTTTCTTGGTGCTATTCCGCATGGACTGGAGATCTGGAGGGCACAGCATTCAATTCACTTTCTCCTGAGCAGGACGGAAAAACACTGTAAGAGCATAGATTTGGAAGCACAACCAGAAATCGCCGATTTTCACATCTACTACTCAGAACGAACAGACCGATCGCGCGTAGAGCTGGGACCCGGTACTACCCCGGGCCTCCGCAGGGAGAACAGCGCAGGTCAGAGGCGCTGGTGGTAGACTCCTATTGTAGAAAGGACCCTTCCCCCGTCCCGCAGCACCGCTGAGACCCACCCCAGCACAACCGCACAACCCCACACCATCACCCCCGACTACGCCTGTTACCGGCTCCCGCCGGGCACTTCCGGGTCCCGCCTCACCCGCCTAACCAATCATGTGCCCTGGGTGACACCCACCGCAGCGCGGGATTGGCTGCGCTGCCCTCCGGTCCCGCCCCCTTCTAGCCCCACTGATGAATGGGCGGGCCCGCGCCGCCTCCGCATTGCCCTTTGCCCGGCGCGTGCCCGCCACCGGCGAGCGCCGATTGGCCGCGCGCGGGGCGCGGCGCCGCTGATGGGCGCGGGGGTGAGGCGAGGGGAGAGGCGCGCGCGCGGCGGGGGCGGCGCTGGCAGAAGCGGCGGCGCCGGGAGCGCAGAGGGGCTGCAGCGATGACCGAGGTGGGGGGGAGGGACACCGGGGGCTGTGGGGATACGGGGGGCAACCGGGCACACGGGGGGCAACCGGGCGCCTTCCCCTCATCACCCACTGCCGCTTTCTCCCCCAGGCCGCGTTCCAGAAGGCCGCCGAGGAGGTGAAGCAGCTTAAGTCGCAGCCCGCGGACCAGGAGATGCTCGACATCTACAGCCACTACAAACAGGCCACGGTGGGCGACGTGAACACGGGTAGGTGCCGCCCCAGGCGGCGCTGGGGGCAAAGCCTCTTCCCCGCTGTGCTTCACGCAATCCCGCGGCTCGGTTTAAGTGACTCAGAGCCCACTTGGCTCGGATTTACGGCCAGGGCATATCCTGGCCCGATAAGGGTTTGTGCAATCTCTGGTTTTTAGATTAACCCAGCTGCAGCCGTCCGGATCGTGCAGTGAGGGGCTGGGGATCCTTTGTGTGTTAGCTTAGTGCAAATAGTGGGATTGGGATTCTTGCAGACCTCTGCTGGTTTAATGCAAACACTTCTCGGGTTAAATAGCCTTAAACAGCAAACCAAGCTATAGAAGTGTAGAACTACAGTACGAGGGTAATGACACACACAATTTATATAGACTGGACAAGCTGCTAAAAATAGCGTTGGAAAGCAAACCCAGAAGAATGGGAGAAAACTCTTACAGGAGCTGCAATTAAATATATTTTGGAAAGACTGTGGCAAAAATATGTCTGCAGGTACACTACACAAAATGTCTCCTGCTACTTCTCTTGCTACATTTCTGCCACTGGCAGCTCAGCCCCCGGAATAACATTTAGAGTGAAGCCTGTCTCTACTGACCTTGTGTAACTGGAGTAGCTAGGATTAGAAAGGGGAAAGGTCATTTGTTTAAAGTGCTGGCCTCCTAACCCAGTAGCTGGTGAAGTTTATTGGATGTCTATTGAATTAAAAGCTGGCAGTGAAGTGTGCATGAAATGGTAAATGCAGTCTCCTTTTTGCAAGGTGGGCAGCGTGGAGGGAGAACAGAACCGACTTTGGGGTTAAGATACGATCCTTTGGTGTGGCTGGACCCTTAGCATTTTTAATGCTTGACAAGGGGAAATGGTGTTCTAGAGCTGTGAATATACCACCATTTCTGTAAGTGGTTGCCCTCTTGTGAAGCAGGAGCCAACGTGAGCTGGCCAGAAAAGCAGCCTGTGAAAGAGTGACTGATGGGGTTTGTGTTGGAGAGAAGTGGAGCTGCCAAGTAGCTCTGCAGGTCACTGTGCCATGTGAGCTGCACAAGGGTATTTCTGTGGCTACTGTCCAGTTCCATTTTATACAATTCTTAAGAATAATCTTTAAGGAGACAGAGGGGAACTAAAATCGCAGAGGGGACTTGACTTGAAGAATAGCCATTTATACATCATTCATTCTCTACTTGGCCACACGTAGCCTACAGTGAAGTGAGTTAGAATTCCAAGGTTATATCCCTAGATGACAGAACAAATGTGGAGCTATAGATTAGAAACATACCCTTAGCTTGATGATAGTGAGTTCTAAGTTGTATGCTACCAGCTTCACTTCTTATGTCTTTGCATGTAATGGACCTTAGAGTATTTTTGCTTTACTTTAGGGCTGGTGTTCTTTAATTGGATAGCTGTCAGGTTATAGCAGGCTCTTCAGAAAGCACCATAGAACCAAATCACACTAGTTGGTGCACTTCTGCTCAAATGCTGCTGTCTCAAGGGAACTTGACAGAGTTGTCACCAGCAGTGTTCTAGTGTGTTCCCTTGAGGTGATCTGCTGACTACAGGTTAGTAAGTAACAGCTGCAAAGATGAACCATTGTATTTTGTCATAGTTAAGAGCTAAATAGCCATCAGGTGGGTATTACCTACACTCAGATCACACAAACTAATTCTGCTGCTTACCTTGTCTCTCTCAGAACGCCCTGGTATGCTGGACTTCAAAGGCAAAGCAAAGTGGGATGCCTGGAGTGCATTGAAAGGTAAGTGTCTTCTTAAAACACCAATAAAAGTCAGAAAAGCACGTGTAGTTCAGCAGGCAACAGAATAGTGTTGCCTTATAATACAAGAGTTCTAGAAGTTCAGAATGCTATGATAATAAACTTTTGATTACCTCTGCAAGGCGCAAGTAATCATGAAAAATATTGCCTGTGTGAAAGGGAATTAAGATGCAAAATGCCCACCTGGCTCAAGATGTTAAACCAAAGAGAACAGTAACATCAGCAGAAACCTAAGTCTGTTTTCCAGGTCCCTGCCTAGTACTCCAGAGACTGAGCTCTCCCCCTAGTTGTTATGCATCTTCCAGTTAGGAAAGCTGTAGAAGAAACAACTGACCTCTTGGCTCCAAACAAGGAGCCTAACAAGTGGTCTAATCTATGAAAATGGGGAGATGTGTTTTCTGGTGCTTTAAAGAACCAGCACTAACATCTAAATGCAGTCTTAAGTTGACTGAATAGGTTTCCTGTAATAATTGGTGATGGCATTAATAGAACTGATAGACTGTTTAGTTGCTGTCTGTCCAAAAACAACTTGGCTGTGAAACACTGTTTTATCATGGCTGATGAACACGTTTGTGTAAAACTTTAATAGTGGATTCACAGCCAACTGACCTTCCTGGCTCCTCTGGTGTCTGGTAGCCATGGGCTACACCAAGGAATTGTGACTTGTAAGAGGCATTTTAATCTGCAAAGGGTAGCTGACTGCTTCCTGTGTTCTGTCCTTCAGGAATGTCCAAAGAAGATGCAATGAAAGCTTACATAGCAAAAGTGGAAGAACTAAAGGCCAAATATGGCATCTGAGGTCTGGATATAGCAGCCACATGCACGCCTGAAACATGCCTTATTTCTAATACTGTGGAAAACTGGTTTCCAAGAGTAATCTTAAATACCTAGTGTGTTACAGTTGTTTCTCCTCATGCCTGTACTTCAGGAGAAGTTATGTACCTGCCTAATAATGTACTGACACATTATAAATTCCTTCTGGGAACAAAATCTGGAACTCATTAAAGTGAATTTGGTACTTAAACTGTTGTGCTGGTCATCCCTTTGTGATCATCCTTTAATTGCTGTGTTGCAGCTGTCAAATCAAACCAATTTCCCCATCGTTTTGCCACTAGAGGGGGCCGGTAGTCTTTGTTCGGGCAATGCGGACTTTGGCCAAGCCACTCCTCCGTTGCTTCCTTTCTCATGGAGATGAGTGGCAACCCACTAAAGCTGGAGCACCACAGAGCTCATCAGGAAGAGATCAGCTCTAATGCTGTGTATATTAAGAACAAGGTGCTTGATATTTGTTGCCTGGAACTTTCAGAGACCTAGCCAACAAGTGCCAAATCATCTTGCATAAAACACTTCTTGGACATGCTCTTTCCTAATAACATTGTGGGGCCATGCGTGGAGAAAAGGCAAATACTCACAGCTGACCATGAAACCTTCCCTGTGAAAGAAAAGGTTCCACAGGCAGTGGAGTTGATGCCTTTGGTGCTATAAATGCAGAGTACTGGTGTTGCCATGTTTGATTACAAAACACAGTTGTGACTGTTTCTAGTAGGCTTTTAATTGTTTTGGTCTGCCCAGTATGGTCTCTTGGAGTGGCCAATGACGGAAAGGGAGATTTTGCTTTTAAAATGTGACATTGAACTATTCCAGCATAGAGCATATGAGAATGAAGTCCCAGCCGTATAAAGGAGCATTCTAATTCCTGCTTTACTCGTTAGCATCTGAACAGGTGAGGACTTAACAGTCATCAGATAAGCAACTGACTTATAGAAATATATAGAGATGAAAGCTATCATTACATATTTGTCTAGGTAGGTAAGCACCATTTTGTAGTTAGTTATACAGGCTTAGCTGTGTGTAGTAGCCTTTGAGATTACCTCCCATGTTTTCAAAAATTAAAAGTTCCCCCTTTGCTACTTTTATTGGGAAAAGCTCTTAGAACTACTTTTCACCCTTTAAAATATGTTGGAATAAAGAACAAAAAGAAGTTGTTTATTCTTGTTCTTCTGGGTAAGTAAAAATAAGTATTTGGGTTTTTTACCTCCTATTGTCTGCTGTTTGACGTTGTGTTAATTAAATTCACTTTGCAAGAGAGAGGTAAGAGCAGTTGTTCAGCACAAGAAGTGCTTTTGCTTCTTTTTCCAACCCTAAATTCCACAGCCAGCTCTATCTTCACAGCTGTATTTTGTGGAGCTGGTTATCCTTGGAGGATTCTGCCAACCTGTGTCAGAATGGAGCTCATACTGGAAAACACTTCCACTTCTGCTTTTGTTTGCTGGAAGTCCATGCACTGTGAGCATGCTGTGCTTTGCTAACATGCTCTCTGTCAGAACAGGTGTCAGAATTTTTGACTGCTAAAGCAGTGGAGTTGGGTATAAAGGATGGGCTGGGAATAGCAAGTTCGGTATTCCAGTCCTCATTTGGCTTGATTTCCCCTGTGAGACTTTAATTGTTGCAGTACTACTCTACTCTCCCATACCTGTCCAGTATCACATAGTACTTATCCCAGAAAGGGCTTGCTCTTGACCAGGCTTACAAATAATGCTATTTGCCAAGTTATACAAGTGACTGAGAACTCTGCCTTGGATGTCTTTATTTGGGTGCTTTATTTTTAGTGT